ACAAACTCAAGGAAAAGCCAGTCGTTGGTTGCATACCAGGCATCACTTTCTGGCCTGATTGCTGTATGGGCTCCATCAATCTACTCTCTAGCCACTTCCCCTCCATTCCTTTGTCCAGATCTAACCAGAGTCGTTTTGCTAAAATACACTCTCAAATATATCAATAACAATAATAATTTTATTATTTTTTCTAGTATTGTGGTTATTTATCACCACCATCCCAAAAATGGGAACTAGTAATAGCCCCCATTTTACAGATTTGAAAACTGGGACAGAGAGAAGGTAAATAACTAAAGCAAAAATCACATAGAAAGTAACAAGCAGAAGCTGGATACAGATTTGTATAACTTCAAAATACAGGTTCTTAAGCATTCACTGCCCTTAGCGCTCATTCAGTTCTCTAGCTAGAAACAAAATAAGATCCAAATTATTTTACTTGACATTAAGATACCCTTGGTCTAGTTCACAGTATACCTTGTCAGGCTTGTTTCCCCTCTTCCTACATAAACAAAAAGGTGTGTATTTGTTTGTTTACAGGAACATATGTTAGTCTTCGGTCCCCTTATGTGTTCCCTACTTTCCCCCATTTGATAATTTGTTGTATAGAATGGTAATACTAGTAAGAACTGTTTACTTATCTGTATGTTCCATTAGATTGGGGGCATCTTAAACTTCAGGGCCTATACCGCCAGCAATGGGCCTTGACCTACCATAGGGTTAGTGCTCTTTAATGAACCTATACTATAGTCAGAAAAGAGAACTCACTACTTCCTGAACACCCACATTTCCCTGTCTTTGCATTTGCGTATGCCGTTCCCACAGCCTAAAATCTTTGCCTTCACAGTACATATCCTTTTGGCAGTACCCTGACCTTCATTTACAGTCTGGCCCAAATATCATGTACTCTTGGACACTTTCTCCCATATCTTGAGTGGAAATTGTTCTCCTCTTTAAATATTTTCATGCCCCTTGCCCCAGAATGGTAACATATATCATCTTCTTCTATGCATTAGTTTTTTTTCTGCAGTCAGCCTTCCCCGGGAGGCTTTGACACTTCAGGAAAACACCATAGCATAGTGATCTGTGTATTGCTCCCACATATAACATAGCAATGTCAGAAGGTGCCTGACAACTCCAGACCCTTTCATAAAAACCTGTTGGATTGAACTTGAATTTGATTTCCACGGGCTGTTCTCAGAAACCTAATATAATCCCAAGAACTACCAGTTAGACCAGTATTCTTAGCAGGAGTTTGTGTACCCCAGGGGACTGGTGAACTTCATTTATGCATAAATGTGTTCACATATACAGGATTTTCCTTTACCAGATCCATGACATACTCTATTTTCAAATGATTTTATTGCTTAAAAAATTGTATAAAATGCCATGAAGTTTTATTTCCAATGTCCTTAGGTTTCTCTTTTGTGCTTTATCGGATAGAAGCACTTTTTAATTATAAAAGCAATATAAATACCTTGAGTAACACATTTTAAATATAATTTAATAAGTAAGAGAATCTTAGTTCTCCTTGTGTCCAGCCCCCCCCCCCCCAAACACACACACACACACACACACACACCCACACACACACCCATACCCATACTTGCCGGTGAGCGTTAGAACAACAGACCCTGTCACTGCTAGTGAGAGTAAAAATTGGTGCACTCTTCCTTTTTTCCTTTTCTCTTTTTGTGTCTTTTTCTGCTGGTTTTTGGGTTTAAGAACTTAGATAAAGTAATATCTTCCTCAGCTTTATATTTCTTGGTTCAGTCTCTTGTCTCATAACTCAACACTTCTTTTTGTCCTAAACATTTATTTTGCTCTCTTTTATTAGTTAAGTGCTTAATCGTACATGTGGGAATTTTATCCGTCATATGAAATTTCCTGTAACCTATTACTTTTATTTGCCTCTTATAGCTACTATGCTATTCCTTTTCTGTTTTTCTGTTTTCATTTCTTAAGCCTGTTTTAGCCTCCCGAACCACCGTTTTTACACTTCTTACACTTTTTTTAAACTTTTTTACACTGCTGTGTTAATTTCTACTGTACAGCAAAGTGATTCAGTTTATATATATATATAACATATATATATATACCCACTTATTTTTATATATAATATATATATATACACTTATTTATATATATATTCTTTTTTATATTCTTTTTCACTATGGTTTATCACAGGATGTTGAATATAGTTCCCTGTGCTATACTGCAGGACCTTGTTGTTTTTCCATCCTATTTATAACAGTTTGCATCTGCTAATCCTAAATTCCCACTCCATCCGTCTGCCATGCCCCACCTCAGCAACCACACATCTGTTCTCTGTGTCCCTATTTCTGTTTTGTAGATAGCTTCATGTATGTTATATTTTAGATTCCACATATAAGTGATACCATATAATATTTGTCTTTTTCTAACTTACTTCACTTAGTATGATATTCTCTAGGTCCATCCATGTTGCCAGAAATGGCATTATGTCATTTTTTTTTTATGACTTGAGTAGTATTTCATCGAATATATGTACCATCTTTTCTTTAGCCATTCATCGGCTGATGGACGTCTAGGTTATTTCCATGTCTCAGCAATTGTGAATAGAACTTCTGTGAACATAAAGGTGCATGTATCGTTTTGAATTATAGTTTTGTCTGAAAGTATGGCAGGAGCAGGATTGCTGGGTCATATGGCAACACTATTTTTAGTTTTTTAAGGAACCTCTGTACTGTTTTCCATAGTGAGTGAACCTTTTTACACCCCCACTAACAATGTAGGAGACCAACAACCTTATTTTTAATCTCTTTTTTCCCTTATACTGTCCCTTTCTTAACTTGTTTATTGTTGTACATTGAAGTGTATTCTCTATCTTACAAAATCTCAGATGACACTGGACTTACATTTACCTCCAAGTAAAGCCATTGGCATGGTAACTGGCATGGTTACTGAAGAATTGGTAGACTTCACCATCATTGGTACCAGGGCTGCAGGAGGTCATTTGATGTATCCACATTTACATTGTTGATAACACCATAAAAATGTTTGATCTAGTTCTGTTGGACTAGGAATATACTTGGGCAGAAAGTTCTAAGTGATAGGACTCTGTAGAAGTTCATTTCAGCAAACCCTAATGGAATGCCTAGTCCCTTCCAAGAACAAGCTGAGGTTCCAGATTGTATCCATTGTCAGCGAGGAGTTCTCTAGTTTAAACTGAGATTTTCAGCCATTCCAAAAATATTTTTACTGTATATTCTAAAATAGTCAAGAAATCCTTTCTAAAGTAAAACCTAAGAAGTTCATCCAGGCATTCAGCACAATGAAATAAAATGTCTTGATTTAAGAGACCCATTCCTGCCATTTCTTAGAACAAAGACATGTACTGTAAAGGCAGACCAGACTGAGATGGAATCCTGGCTCTTCTTTTTATAACAGGACAGACTTACTGTGCTAGTGATGAGCAAACACGGATAGAAGACTCTAGACCAAAAGAACAATGGATGGATTGAGTTCAGGCTTGGCCTTTAACATGGGAGCAGGGTGGTAGAATGAGAATAAATCCATGGTATTTGCTTTGATGGGGCAGTGGGGTCCGGGGCATTTGGAGTGACATGGGGGAGCATCAGTCATGGCAGGTGGGAAGATGGGGCCATAGACACCTGCAGGAAATACGTGCTTCTGTTTGATACCGCAGCCTGCAGCAGAACACAGCCCTGTGGACTGGGGGCAGGGGCAGGGCCTATCTAGATTGCTGTCTTGAGTAAACATGTCAGGGAAGATGGTGATTAATGACTGTTGACTGTAGTCCAAGTCATATTTGCACATACCTGCACATTTGTGTACACTCCTGACCCACCTACCCACTCTTCCATTCTCTGTCTCCCCTCTCCCCAGATCTCTCACCCTCAGTCTCACATTCATTCTCTCACATCCACTAAACTCTTAAGTCCCTATCACCATCTCAGGTCCATGGTCCTGTCCTTAAATCTTACATAATGCCTGGAAAATTTCAACGTGCAATAGCTTTGCAACCTTAGCTAAGTTACTTCTTGCTGAAAGATAAGGAAAATCATTACTGCCATAGGGCAGCTGCAGGTTAAATGAGATAAAACATGAAAGGTAGTTGTCATGGCACCCAGTTGATGTGGTTGTCTGTGACCACCAGGGCCTTTCTCCCCACATCATCCCTGTGCTCTTGTCCTATCTTTCACCATGAATAAGCACACCCACATCCCTTTGCACACAGAGCCCATTCATTCCTCAGAGACTCGAGTGGCTATCTGCCAGGGACCAGGGAACAAAGTGCCTTTCACATTTCTGTTCTCATTTTTCTCTATAAAATCCTTTGAGGGAAAGAATTATTTTCTCACTTTACAACTGGGGAACTGAGACTCAAAAAAAAAAAAAAAAAAAACTAAGCAATTTTCCCTGGAGCTCACAGCTGGTCAGCCACAGAGTTAAGACTTACACTCGGCTCCAGAATCTGTGTGCTCTTCTCCCAGCCTTCTGATGAATTTTCTGTCACCTCGAACATGTTGAGGAAAAGGACATTCTCTCCTGGTTAAGCAGATGTGATTTACTAAAAAGTCCATGTTCACTAACCACATCTCTGCCTTCTCTAGTAAGGCACATGGACTGAATTCTGCCCTCTACTAGACACGGAGATACCTGAGGTTAGATACCTTGTTTATCTTGCTAAATCTTTATACCTTGTTCTCAGGACAAATGGTGGATACTCAATTCAAGGAAGTCGAACATATGAATGAATGTTTATAAGGAATGTCCACATCCTATAGTAGATTCGACCTGAGGCTAGTTGAGAAGAGAATTGGAAACAGGTAGAAACATCCCCATCAAACCTGGGTGCATAGCATGGATGCACACACACACACACACACATACACGCACACCCTCCCTGTCCCCATCCAAGCTCCCATAGCTACAAATACTCTACATTCCATGACACACAGACATGTGCATATTCTATGACTATTTTTACTATTTTTTAGTTTGTGAAGAAATACGGGAACCTTTTTAGCCTGGAATTCGGTGACTTGCCTTCAGTTGTTATAACTGGATTGCCCTTAATCAAAGAAGTCCTTGTCCACCAGGACCAAAACTTTGTGAGTCGCCCCATAACCCCTATTCGAGAACGTGTTTTTAAGAAAAGTGGTAAGTTTCTTGACTAATACAAGATGTGTACATTTGATATTCTTATAGTCTGTGAAAGGTACTTTTGTTTCTGTAATTCTCCAATACTCCCAGGGACTAGGCCCCTATAAGTTCCTGCTCCTTAGGGAAGCTGAGTGCCTGCATTTCCCTGGTGAAGGTACCTCCTCAGGGCACCTGTCAGGGTCCACCCTAACGTCAGGCATTTGGGAAAAGCGACATCACCTGCATGAACTCACTCTGGATGCTTTGATAAAGAAGTATGCTCATTCACTCAGTCATGTGATGTGTTTTTAAGCTGAGGAAAGGCAATGAATTATCAGGCTCTCTTTCTCCACTCAGATCTCTTCCCCGAGGAAAATGGGTGTGGATCAGCTTCCTCCTCCTCTTGATTATGTGATCCTTTCTTGCATCTAGCTTCTTGTGATCTGTTGTTAAGGCTGTCCCTTACAAGATATCACGAGCCTGCCATTTTTGTTAGAAGGGTTTGGGGTTTCCCTGGTGGCTCAGTGGTAAGAATCTGCCTGCCAGTGTAGGAGACATGGATTTTTCTGGGAAGATCCCACATACTGCGAAGCAGCTAAGCCTGTGCGCCACAAATACTGAAGCTGTGCACGGCAAAAAGAGAATCCACCGCAATGAGAAGCCAGTGCACTGCAACTTGAGAGTAGCCCCTGCTTTTCCCAACTAAACAAAAGCCCACAACAGTGAAGACCCAGCAGAGCAATAAATAAACAAAATTATTGAAAAGAAGAGGGGTTTAGCATAAATACTTAAAATGATTATTAAATTTACACATTTAGAAAGCTAAATGAAAAACTCAATATATTCTACCAAAGCACCATATTTTTCAGGTGCTTCTCAATTTCTCTTTGAAATATTTTACCCATTAACTCAACATCCATTCACTGTGTTTATTTGCCATATGAAGCCTGGTGGTAGGGACCAGTGACAGAACAGTGAGGAGAATGACAAAGTCCTTATTTTTCTGTAACATATATTTCATTCAGGAAAACAGTGTCAGTTACTCTAATAATTTAAGACCTTAGTGTTATGAAGATAGGAGCGTGATGTACTCCTTAGGAGTGTCTAATATCCTGAGACACAGGAAAAGCTAACACAGTGACGATTAATATAATAAAGTGAAAAAACTATCAGGTGGAGGGAATGGAGTATGAAAAGTCCCTAAAGTGGGAAGGACACTGAACTGGAGGAACTGAGAGGTGGCCAGTGTTGCAGCGCAGTGATTAAATGGAGATGAAGCTGCTGAGTTCGAACAGGAATAGTTCATGCAAGTTAAGGATGTTGCTTTTTATCCTAATAACAATGGAAGCTCCTGCATGGTTTCCGTAGAGAGAGGGATCATCATACTTACATAGTACATTTTGAAGACTTCTCTAAGCTATAATGTGGAGAATGGAATAAAGGGAGCAAGAAACAATTGCAGCATTTTAGGTGAGAAGAGGTGGTGGCCTGGACTAGGGAGGTGGCGAGAAATGGCAGTCCAATAGGTTAGACCAGGAGAACGACTGTGAAGATACATGTATTTAAGTTTCTCAGGAGGAAAATCCAACAGGACATGATGACCCAGACAGAGGGAGAATGAGGTGGACGCCCAAATGGGTAGGTAAAGGAAAGAGACATGTGGAAGAGGACAGGGTGTTGGCTGGCCTGGGGAGTTGTAAAGAGCAAATAATGAATTCAGTTATAGATATGCTGAGTGTGAAATGCATTTAAATCTACAGAGCCGAGCAGATACTTGTATACATATATCTATCTAGTGCTGAGAGACAGAAATAGATATTAACTATCAGTAGATTTCACTTAAAATTTTAGGAACTAATGAGATTGTCCCCAAAATGGAATATAGATAAAGAGAAAAGACTTCAGACCTAGTCTTGAAGAGCTCCATCATTTCAAAATTCAATAGAAGATGAATTAACGAAAGATACAGGAATTTCTCTATGGTCAGAGAATAAAGGAGGGAAATCTAGAGAGTGTGGTGTCCTGGACACCATTGGAAGAGAATGTTTCAAGAAAGAAGTGTCTCATGCTGCTGACACATGATGGTGAGGTTGAAAAGCATCCTGGACTGGACAGCAGGCAAGGTCATGTCCTTGTGGTTGTGGAGGCCAAAGTCAGATATGAAAGTGAGTTGAAGGGTGCTCTGGAAGTGAAGAAAGGATGGTGACCTCCCCTGTGTTATGAAATAAATGATCATTTATTGAACACACAAAGATGGATTTTTTTTTCCTTTGCCTGTGTTGTCCACTCTGCATAGATTTTTTTACTCTTCCATGCTTTCTTGAGTGATTCATTAATTTTTAAGGCCTGGTTTAGATAAGATCTCTCCTAAAGGACTTACCTTGTGAATATGGATTTTGTCTAATCTATAAGTGCATTCTTAGTATGTTGCATGATACAAATATTTACATATATTATGTGACAAGTCATCAAAAATGGACTTTGGAGTCAGACAGACTTGAATTTCAATCCTGTTCAGTTGCTTGCTAACTCTGTGACATTGCAGAGTTTATTTTATCTCTTACACCTCAGTTTCCTTTTCAACAAAACTGTTGGGCGGGTTGGCAGTTATGATAGGATGTACCTCAAAAGAGGTTCTGTGAGTACTATATAATGCATTAAAAATGCTAAAAGGTCTGCCATTATGAGTAATCATTAAATGCTAGCCATTGTATCCATTGCTTTGGGATTATTTCTCTGAATAGTTTCAAACACCTAAAAGCCCTTCCCCTTCCTTCCATCTGATACATTGTTCCTCATGGGTCTTGTTGACTTTCTTTTCATAATGTTGGCTTTGTTTTTCCCAGGCTTGATCATGTCCAATGGCCACATATGGAAAGAGCAAAGAAGATTTTCCCTGACAGCTCTGAGGAACTTTGGTTTAGGAAGGAAAAGCTTAGAGGAACAGATACAGGAAGAAACTGCCTACCTCATCCAGACAATAGGAGAGGAGAATGGTGAGCAGGTCCTAGGACAGGTGCAGGGACTGTGGTTCATGCTTTCACTAACCAGATGCCTATCAATACCTACATGCCTGTCCTAAGCCCAGGACTGTGTTGGGTGCTTAGGGACTAACAGTGAACAGCTAACCATGAACTGCTGTTATAGAGCTTGAGTGTTAAGAAGAAGATGGGTATAAAACTCATTATTGGTTTTAAATCCTGGTCATCAGTTTGACCTCCAGGCATTGACTGAGCACTTGCTGTGTGCCAGACCTGTGTAGGGTGCTGGGACCACAGTTTCAGATACAGTTCTGTAGTCAGTGTGCTATATGCCATGTAGAATGTACTCTGGAAAATAGAAACAAACCAATCTGAAGTCTCTATCTCTTCTTCTGCTCCCAGGACAGCCTTTCAACCCTCACTTCAAGATCAACAATGCCGTTTCCAATATTATTTGCTCCATCACCTTTGGGGAGCGGTTTGACTACCAGGATGATCAGTTCCAGGAGCTGCTGAGGCTGCTGGATGCGGTCACCTACCTAGAGACAACAATGTGGTGCCAGGTGAGGCAGTTCTTACTTCCTGCCGTGGAGAAGGACACTGAGCTCATGTCAGACAGAGATGGGTTCTTCCTTTTATTTTCTTCTTAAGCTAACACAACCGTTTGAAATTGACAAACATATCTGAAATCAGTCTGTTGAATTTGATGTTTTATGTAATATTGTTGAACATTGACTGTAGACAAAGAGGGCTTCCCAGGGGGCTCAGTGGTGAAAAAAAAAAAAAATCTACCTACCAATGAAGGTGATGATGAAGATGAATTGGGAAGATCCCCTAGAGTAGGAAATGGCAACCCACTCCAGTATTATTGCCTGGAAAATCCCATGGACAGAGGAGCCTGGTGGGCTACAGTCCATGGGTTCACAAAGAGTTAGACATTACTGCTCACATAGGCATTAATTACTGGAAAATTGAGTTCAGTAATGGGACTTCAGTGAATACCAGGCTGACTGTTCCCAAGGAACAGAAATCCTGGGAGGTTAGGAGGAGGCAATAGGGCAGGGGTAGAAAGCATTTCTTAGAGATCCAAAGTAGACCAGGCACTTTGGTAGACAGCTATACATACTTTATCTCAGTTAATTTTTTTTTTTTACAACAGTTCTTTAAAGATGAAATGGATTATCCTGATGTATGCAAGCAGATATGGGAATGTGTAAACAAATCCACATAGTGTTCCACTGGCTCTGTGTTAAGTGTGGTATGGATCTCATGTCATTTGATCGTGAAAATAACCTTTGCCCCCACTAGCAGCTAGTTTGGGTAGATACAGGCCACACCATTATTACTACCACTAGCAAAGTACTATAGCTAGAAAGAAACAGAGGTAATTGTCAAACCCATACCTATCACATTTGAAATCTAGGCAACTTTCCATTACCTTATGCTATCTATTTTCTACCATATATTATTAGAAAAAATATATACAAAAACTACTGTATTTCAGTAAAAAATATTTTACCCACATGGAGCGTAGCTCATAGTGAGGACAGACAAATAAATACACATATGTGTTTACCATAGATATTTAGATACATAGGAATGTAGATACATAGTTAGATACATATACATAGATAAACATACATATTTTACAAATACACACAAATATATATACACACACATACTAATGACAATTATCACGGAAAAATATAAAACAAAGGAATGGAAAGAGAGTCCCAGAAGTGCTGCTAATTGTAGGATCATCAGCTAAGATGGATCCAAATAGGTGACATTTGACAGCACATTAAGGAACTGGAGTTACACAGATTTCAGAGGAAAACCATTCTAGATGAAAGAAATAGCAAATACAAAGTCCTAAACAAGAACATTTTTTTTATGTTTGCACAGAGACCAATGGGGCCAGACTGGAAAGAGTAAGAGAGAGCAAGATGGCAGGAAGTGATAGGAGAGGAGGCAACAGCAGGGTGAGGGCCAGATCATGTAGAGCTCCAGGCCAGGAGAATGATGTAGAATCTTTCTAAATGTCTTGGGAAGTCATTGGAGAATTGCGAGTCAAAAAGTGAAATGATCTCATTAAACTGTTAAATGATCTCTGTGGCAGCTCAGTGGAAGATAGGCTGAGAAGGGGGTTAAGGAGAGAATCAGGAAACCTGTTGTAGACTTTACAGCATCCAGATAAAAAATGTTAGTACTTTGTACTAGGATGACGAAGCAGATGGAGCGGTGAAAATTGGTCTGAAGTGTCATGTTTTGGATGGAGGGTTGAAATGCTTTGGCAGAGGGGAAAGAAGAGGGTTGAGAGAGAGAAGAGTCAAGGTTGACTCAAGGGATTAAATGTAAGTAAATAAAAGAGGCAGAAAAAGAATATGGTTGGTGTGTTGTTCAGTCGCTCTCATGTTCAACAATTTGCAAAGCCATGGACTTATCTTAAGCAGCAGAAAAATGTCACCCCCTTTTCTCCATGACGGTTTTATTTGTTCCATCAGCTCTACAATGTCTTTCCAAGGATAATGAATTTCCTTCCAGGACCACACCAAATGCTCTTCAGTAACTGGGGGAAACTGAAAATGTTTGTTGCCCGTATGATTGAAAACCACAAGAGAGATTGGAATCCTACTGAAGCAAGAGACTTCATTGATGCTTACTTCCAGGAGACAGAAAAAGTGAGGAAACCTGAGTTTTTTCCTGAGTATTGTTCTTAAAGACCAAATGAAAGGATTCTAATATCTTATTGCTGGTGTAAGAAGTCACCACAAACTTGGTAGCTTAAAACAACCAACATTTATCAAGTCAAGATGGGGGCAGTACTGGCTCTTACAAGATTCTAGGGGAAGGAGCTAGTGATGGACTTTTCCAGAGTCTAGAGGCTGCCTTTCCTCCTTGACTGACTCATGACCCATTCCTCCATCTTCAAAGCCATCAATATAGCATTTTTTCTGCCACTATCTTCACATCTACTCTTTATGACTTTCTTGCCTCCCTCTTCTAAAGACTCTTGTAATTATATTGGGCCCACTGGGATAATCCATAATAATTTTCCCATCAAGAGCCTTATTTCAGTATATCTACAGAGTTCTATCTGCCATAAAAAATTCACAGATTCTAGAGTTAAGGACATAGATTTCTTTGTGGGTCATTATTCAGCCTACCCCAGGGGAGAAAAAATAGAGGCAGTACTTCAAAGAATGTAGGAATAGCATTAACTCAAAATTGATGGGACAATTAGAAATAAAGACAGAGGTTTAACAGTATTTGGCTTAAGGACTTTAGAAAGACCAAATACTGCCTTTTCATAATACATTCTCTACCCATATCTGAAGGGCCTGTATGTACAAGGAAAAAAAGTATTATTTCATTATTAGTTGGACCAATGCCCAGTCTCCTTCCTATCCCTTCCCCCAGCTCCCCATTGCGGAACACAGGTAAATCTGAGTCAGATGCCAGAGTTTAGCCTCAGATGGGAGAGACATTTGCTCCCTCATCTCTATGTCATACACTTTTCAATATTACTATAGGAAAAAAGCAGGGAAAAAGTCAAATGGGATGTAAAACTTTTGCCATAGTCATCCCTCTGGTGAACGTATCGCTGCATTGGTGATATGTTTGACCCATCAGATTATTTTGACCCATCAGATCATTCATTCCCAGAGTTGGCAGAATGGATTTCTTTCCAACTCCTCTCTTGTTTCACCTTATTGTGATAACATTAATAGAAACATTGATTTCTCTTATGAGGAGGAGACTTCACTTGCTATAAGATATGCAGGTATGGGACCACACAGGGAGGAACACTGACACATTGAAGGAAGGTGGTAAAGATGCTGGAGTGCCATGAGGAATGACTGTTGGAATCAGAAAAGTTTAACCTAAAAGGAAAAGGTTAATGGGGAGATGTGAAAATTATTGTACTTTAGAGAAATTCAGTTATTATTTCTGTTATTGGTACAAACATTTGTTGAGAATTGATATGTGCCCTTTCCTACTGACATAATTCATAATTCCACCTTAAGAGGTAAGTGTTGTTATGCCTGTTTTGTGGAACAGGACTCTAAAACACAGAAAGTTTTATTGACTTGCTCAAGTCATACAAATGGTGAATGGTGTCGCTAATATTGGAACCCAAGGCTGTTTGCCAGTGTAATAATAGATTCTGCCTAATTATGGGTGTAAAAAATAAGTTGTCTTTTTTGTCCACCAAAGCTAGCAAAAGCTTCCAGCCCAAGGGGCAGTGATATTCCAGTAATAAATCTCTGCCTCATGAGACAGCCAAAGGGAAAGTTATTTCTCCTGGAGCAGTTTCTCCTTCATGTTCTCTTTAGGATGAAGCCCCATGTGTTGTGGCAACTAAGAACCGTCTCAATAAACCAATAATCACTGTGCTTTCTAGCATAAGGGCAATGCTGCTTCAAGTTTCCATGAAGAAAACCTTATCTACAGCACCCTAGACCTCTTCTTCGCTGGAACAGAGACAACTTCAACCACCTTGCGCTGGGGTCTGCTCTACATGGCTCTGTACCCTGAAATCCAAGGTGAGCATTTGAGTGGGTGGGCCTAGGCTGGGTCATAATGGGGTTCCCTCAAGAATATACAAATGGGGCAAAGAAGGTCTCTTCAATAAGTGCTTCTGGGAAAACTGGACAGCTACGTGTAAAAGAATGACATTACAACCCTTCCTAACACCATACACAAAGATAAACTCAAAATGTATTAAAGACCTAAATGTAAGACCAGAAACTATAAAACTCTTAGAGGAAAACACAGGCAGAACACTCTATGACACAAATCACAGCAAGGTCCTCTATGACCCATCTCCTAGAGTAATGGAAATCAAAACAAAAATAAAAAAGTGGGGGCCTAATTAAACTTAAAAGCTTTTGCACAGCAAAGGAAACTATAAACAAGGTGAAAAGACAACCCTCAGGATGGGAAAAAAATAATAGCAAATGAAACAACTGACAAAAGATTAATTTCAAATATATAAGCAGCAGCTCATACAAACCAATAACAGAAAAGCAAAAATCCAATCAAAAAGTGGGTAAAAGACCTAAACAGACATTTTTCCAAAGAAGACTTACAGATGGCTAACAAACTCCTGAAAAAATGGTCAAGATTGCTCATTATTAGAGAAATGCAAATCAAAACTACAATGAGATATCACCTCATTGATGAGAATGGCCATCATCAAAAAATCTACAAACTATAAAAACTGGAGAGGGTATAGAGAAAAGGGAACCCTCTTGTGCTGTTGGTGGGAATGTAAATTGATACAACCACTATGGAGAACAGTACAGAGGTTCCTTAAAAAACTAGGAATAAAACCACCATATGACCCAGTAGTCCCATCAGTAGGCATATACCCTGGGGAAACCAAAATTGGAAAAGACACATGTACCCCAGTGTTCATTGCAGTTCTATTTACAAAAGCTAGGACATGGAAGCAACCTAGATGTCTATCAACAGATGGATGGATAAAGAAGCTGTGGTACATATATACAATGAAATATTACTCAGCCACAAAAAGGAATGCATTTGAGTCAGTCCTAATGAGGTGGATGAACCTAGAGCCTATTATACAGAGTGAAGTAAGTCAGAAAGAGAAAAATGTCATATACTAATGCATATATATGGAATCTAGAAAGATGGTTCTGATGAACCTATTTGGAGAGCAGCAGTGGAGACACAGACATTGAGAAGAGATTATGGACATGGCTGGGAGGGGAGAAAGGAGAGGGTGGCATATGTGGAGAGAGTAACATGGAAATATACAATACCATATGAAAATAGATACCCAGTGGAATAGGAATTTGCTGCATGACACAGGAAACTCAAACTGGGGCTCTGTAACAACCTAGACAGGTGGGATGGGAGGGCGGTGGGAGGGATGTTCAGGTGTGGGGGGACATGGGTAAACCTATGGCTAATTCATGTTGATGTTTGGTAGATACCAACACAATACTATAAAGCAATTATCCTTCAATTAAAAATAAATAGTTTTTTTTTAAAGGAAAAAAGAAAAAAAGAATGGGGCCTCCTGGAACACTGTCCAAAAGTAGGGCCAGAGGATAGCATGGTAGGATGGAGAGATAGGTAAGACAGGTGAACTTGAGAATGGGCACCTGCTTCAGTTTTCTGCCAGAATTGGGATGGGTCCACATAACACAGATATAACAGAGAGCCCCTGCCCTCAGGAAACTCACTGTCCAGTGGGGAAAACAGTGAAGTCCACTGCCATTGTGGTGAGTTCCAGGAAGGAGTTCCATCCCACTCACATATGAAATCTGGTAGCAGTCTTCCATCCTTTACAAGTAGTGTTTTCCAGCACCCTGTGGACAGTGCTCAGAGTCCTTCGTCTGCTATATCATGAGCTCTGCTGTGCCTCTTTTCTACCTGTCCAGCCTGCATAGGGGCTTCAGGAAGTCACAGATCATTTAATTTCACTGTCCTTATTTGTGCCTCTGGACCATCACACCAGCTGTTCCCTAGAACAATAATCAAGAATGTATTTCCCTAATTTCTCCATACAGTAAACCCTTAGCTATGCTTGAAGAGTCTACTCAACATAGCCTCCAAGTGTTTCCCCACACTTCTGGGAAAATACTAGCATTTCCTTTCTGTAAAGATGACCTAATGAACCTCCATTAGTTTGCTTATAACATGTTATTTATATAGCTTCCCCAGAGACTGTAGTCCTTTCAAGGACAGTGACTGTTAGAATCATTTTTCATTTTCTAGCTGCCCCCCCAACAGTTTAAGCACATGTAGGATAGAAACTGTTGTGATAAATTTTTGCAAACTGTGGATAAAAGTTCATTAATAGGACATAGAGTCAGTTTAGTAAATCAAGACCAACTTTTTGCCCTAATTAAAAAAAAAATAGATTAGTAAAATCAGAGTGCTTTCTGTGTACTAAGGATAATGCTTTTTCATGAAACTTTCTTTCCTTAAATAGATGAATAAATGTTTGTTTTATATGTATGTGTTTGTTTTTGTTTATGTGCCCTGAGTCAGGCACTTGTAAAATGCACTTATTTGTGAATTATGGGCTTCCCTTCTGGCTCAGTGGTAAAGAATCCACCTGCAAATGCAGGAGATGCAAATTCTATCCCTGGGTTGGGAAGATCCCCTGGAGAAGGAAATGGCAACCCACTCCAGTATTCTTGCCTGGGCAATTCCATGGACCAAAGAACCTGGTAGGCTACAGTCCATGGAGTCACAAGGGTCAGACAGGATTTAGCAACTAAAGAACTGTGAATTACAGGGTTTTCTTTAAGTTTAAAAGCCACCTAGTTAGGATATAGTTATAGCTTCCCTATAAAAGTCTCCAAAATAATAGTGGCTTAAGATGGCATAAGGAGAAGGAAATGGCAACCCACTCCCATGTTCTTGCCTGGAGAATCCCAGGAATGGGGGAACCTGCTGGGCTGCCGTCTATGGGGTCGCACAGAGTCTGACACGACTGAAGCAACTTAGCAGCAGCAGCAGCAGTAGCAAGGTGGCATAAAAGTGGATACAACCCAAGTGTCTATCAGTGGATGAATGGATAAGCAAAATGTGGAATGCAATGAAATATTCATCCTTAAAAATGAAACATTTTGACACATACTACAACATGGTGAACTTTAAGGACATCATGCTAAACTCAGCAATCCAATCAAAAAAACAAACTATATGATCCTGTTCATCTGAGGTGTCTGGAACAGTTGAACTCATAGAAAGCGAAAGTAAAATGGTGGTTATTACCCTCCAGGGTTAGAGCCTAGAGTTAGTGCAAATGGGAGTTCTGGTTCAGTGAGTATAGTTTTGGTTTTGCAAGACAAAAATTTCTGGAGATTGGTTGTACAACAATGTGAATATACTTAACATTATTAAACCACACACTTTAAAGTGGCTAGATAAGTAAGTTATATATTATGTGTATTTTACCACAATTTTAAAAGTTTCTAAATGTTCAGTAAAAAAAGTTTATTTTTCTCTCAATTCAAAAACTCTTAAGCTAGACTGCAGAACCCTTTGGGTGCAAACTGCTTCCTGTCTGTTTCTCTGTTGTATCTAGAATGGCACCCTTGTTGGGACTCACAGATGGCTTGCCTCTATGGCTGCCTTTCCACCAGCAGAAAGGGGAGGAGGAGGAAGCACATGCCTTTCCTTTTAGGGCATGTTCCAAGTATTAAACATTCCCTCTACTTACACTCTCTTGGCCAGAACTTAGTCACAAGGGGATCTATGAAATGTAGTCTTTAGCTGAGGAACCAGGTATCCAGATCAAATATTTATTATTGTAGAAAAAGAGGAAAACAAATATTAGGGCATAGTTAACAGAGTTTTGTTGTTGTTGGATGCTTCCCTAAATCAGTTCATGTAAATCTAAAATTTCCTAAAGGTGAAACTTGATTCATCCTCACTAATAAGAAGAGAAACCAGAGGCTCAAGGAGCTCCAGGAACTCACCGAAGGACTAGGATTGAGCAGGAATTTGCCACCAGATTTGTCTCACACCAGGGCCCACTTCCCACTCACATACCTCCCTGAGGAGGTTGTCCAGAGACCCTATTATAGCTTTAGTCATTTTGTTGTTCAATCGCTGAGCCATGTCCAAGTCTTTGCCACCCATAGATTATAGCACACCAGGTTTCCCTGTCCCTCACTATTTCTGGAGTTTGCTCAAACTCATTTCCATTGAGTCAGTGATGCCATCTAACCATCTCATCCTCTGTCGCTCACTTCTCTTCCTGCCTTCAATCTTTCCCAGCATCAGGGTCTTTTCTGTGAGTCAGCTCTTTGCATCAAGTGGCCAAAACACTAGAGCTTAAGTGTCATTCCTTCCAATGAATATTCAGGGTTGATTTCATACAGCCCAGCATTTCACATAATGTACTCTGAATTTAAGTTAAATAAGCAGGGGTGATGCTGTAAAACCTTAATGTACTCCTTTAGCATTTTTTATCCTGGTTATTCTATTCCTTAGCTTAACTGGCCTCTAGGAAAGTTATAGAAAAATAGAATAATGAAACCTCCTGTACTTTTCCAGGAAAAGTCCAAGCTGAAATCGATAAGGTGCTTGGCGAGTTACGACAACCGAGCATGGCCGCGCGAGAGTCCATGCCCTACACCAATGCTGTCATCCACGAGGTGCAGAGAATGGGGAACATTCTCCCTCTGAACGTGCCCAGGGAGGTGACAGTGGACACCATCCTGGCTGGATACCATCTGCCCAAGGTAATTAGGGGCTCACACCAACAGCCTCAGATCTCCAAACTCATATTTGTAAATGGTGGGAATATCTCAATTGGAAAAGCATTCTTATCCTAGAGAGTTACTTACATGGGAAGAGAAATATATTATGCCTGATGAAATATTAGTTTTGTTCCCTAAGTGTGAGCTTAGAAGGTTAGTTCAGCTGGATGTTAACCGGTGTTTTAGAGGAGGGGGCATTCCTAAGTCAGCTGCGATTAGGCAGAACCAGGCTTTTCTTTGCTCTGCGGTTTCCTCATTGCTCTAGTCTGTGACATGAGCTGTAAATCTGTGTGGGGATGTGGAAGGCAGCAGTTCTCAGGCTCAGACTTTGTCATGAGGTCCTTTCCTTTGCCTTGGGGGTGCTTCTCACAAGATAGAGACCTGCTAGGCTTATTTTAGACAATTGTGCTATGCAGTGCTGGAATGTTGAAAAATGAGGGACTTTTGAGACCACCTGAACCAACATCATATTCATTCTGGTGTTTCTAACATACTATTCCCACAGGTGGTTTTTTTTCATCTTTGACTTACAGACCTTTGATGAGACTGCCTCACAAGGGAAAGCAATCCAAGTATGTTCAGTATTAAATATCAGAATAGGAGAGAAAGGATGAACCAATGCTTTTTAAGCAGTGATTATGTACTGTGGACTATACATGTTATTTCAAAATGTCTGAATCAGTCCTTAGAATAATTCCGTTATCTCATTTTATAAATCTGAAAGCCGGGGCTTGAAGAGTAGTTAATTAACCTCTCAGCTACAGGCACAAGATTTGGGTTCCAGAAACAGAACTGTTCTGATTCCCAGGCTCATCTTTTTTTATACTACACCATGTTCTCTCCACAGGAGTTGCTTTCCTTTGATTTTAAAAGAGTCTCCCTGAAACATTTCTCAGTGCTGCTAAGTCACTTCAGTCGTGTCCGACTCTGTGCGACCCCATCCCTGGGATTCTCCAGGCAAGAACAGTGGAATGGGTTGCCATTTCCTTTTCCAATGCATAAAAGTGGAAGTGAAGTCGCTCAGTCATGTCTGATTTTTTGCGACCCCATGCACTGCAGCCCACCAGACTCCTCCGTCCAGGGATTTTCCAGGCAAGAGTACTGGAGTAGGGTGCCATTGCCTTCTCCGATTGAATTTAATGGGGACCCATTTCTCAGTGGGTCCCCATTAAATTCCCAGTCCTCCCAAAGGACATGCTGCTCTCACTCGGCCCCCCGCCTCCCCGAGGATCGCAGGTGCCAGCTCTCCTGTGCCCCCTAGTGTCCGCTCTGTGCGCTGCACATGTACAGTTCCCTTTCTCACAACCTTGGTTAGCCTCGGTGGATCTATTCTAGTCTGTCTAAATTGATCTGTGTGTGTTGTACCTGGGGACAATCTCAAGGCAAAGCCAAAGGAAATTCTGCATTGTACACCCCTTAGTCACCAGCCCAGCAGAACCAGGAATAGCAGCTATTCCTGCCATGATTGCTTTACTGTATTAGTTTGGTGAAAATGTAATTGCTATTTTGAACCTTGAATTTTAAATCATGGTAACTAGGCTCAAATCATTGTAACTAGGCTTTAAGAAAAGGCAGAGAACCAGAGATCAAATTGCCAACATATACTGGATCATCAAAAAAGAAAGAGAGTTCCAGAAAAACATCTATTTCTGCTTTATTGACTATGACAAAACCTTTGACTGTGTGGATCACAATAAACTGTGGAAAATTCTGAAAGAGATGTGAATCCCAGACCACCTGATCTGCCTCTTGAGAAATCTGTATGCAGGTCAGGAAGCAACAGGTAAAACTGGACATGGAACAACAGACTGATTCCAAATAGGAAAAGGAGTACGTCAAGGCTGTGTATTGTCACCCTGCTTATTTAACTTCTGTGCAGAGTACATCATGAGAAATGCTGGGCTGGATGAAGCACAAGCTGGAATCAAGATTGCTGTGAGAAATATCAATAACCTCAGACATGCAGATGACACCACCCTTATGGCAGAAAGTGAAGAGAAACTTTTAAAAAGCCTCCTGATGAAAGTGAAAGAGAAGAGTGAAAAAGTTGGCTTAAAGCTCAACATTCAGAAAACTAACATCATGACATCTGGTCCCATCACTTCATGGCAAATAGATGGGGAAACAGTGGAAACAGTGGCAGACTTTATTTTGGGGGGGTGCTCCAAAATCACTGCAGATGGTGATTGCAACCATGATATTAAAGACGCTTGCTCCTTGAAAGAAAAGTTATAACCAATCTAGACAGCATATTAAAAAGCAGAGACATTACTTTGCCAACAAAGGTCCATCTGGTCAAGGCTATTGTTTTTCCAGTGGTCATGTATGGATGTGAGAGTTGGACTATAAAGAAAGCTGAGCACCAAAGAATTGATGCTTTTGAACTGTGGTGTTGGAGAAGACTCTTAAGAGTCCCTTGGACTGCAAGGAGACCCAACTAGTCTATCCTAAAAGAAATCAGTCCTGAATGTTCATTGAAAGGACTGATGTTGAAGCTGAAACTCTAATACTTTGGCCACCTGATGCGAAGAACTGACTCATTTGAAAAGACCCTGATGCTGGGAAAGATTGAAGGTGGGAGGAGAAGTGGACAACAGAGGATGAGATGGTTGGATGGCATCACTGACTCAGTGGACATGAGTTTGGGTAAAACTACAGGAGTTGGTGATGGACAGGGAGGCCTGGCGTGCTGCAGTCCATGGAGTCGCAAAGAGTTGGACACAGTTGAGTAAATGAACTGAACTGAAGTGAACTAGGCTCAAACACATCTTTATTAGTCAAAGTAGGAACCATTACAGTCAACACATTTTTGCCAATGAGAAATAAGTTTGCTTATTCCTGTGATGTAAAAATCTATCCTTCGGGACTCTTGGCAAGCATTTTCTGACTCTTACTAGTTATGGAAGCATCTTCCCTGCAAAAAGTTACCAGCATACTTGAGGAAGTCGTAGTTGGTTGGCTACCGAGGTCCGGTGAATATGGTGGATGAGGCAAAACTTTGTAGCCCAATTCATTCAACTTTTGAAGTATGCAACATGCGGTCAGTTGTTGTCATAGAGAAGAATTGGGCCCATTCTGTTGACTAATCCCAGCTGCAGACATTGCAGTTTTCAGTGCATCTCATTGATTTGCTGAGCATGCTTCTCAAATGTAATGTTTTTGCTGGAATTCAGAAGGCTGTAGTGGATCAGACAAGCAGCAGGCCACCAAACAGTGACTGACATTTTTTCGGTGCAAGTTTGGCTTTGGAAAATGCTTTGGAGCTTCTTCTAGATCCAGCCACTGAGCTGGTCATCACCTGTCATATAAAACCCACTTTTTGTTGCATATCACCATTCAATCGAGAAATGGTTTGTTGTTGTGTAGATGAAGCAAAGATGACACTTCAAAATGATTTTTTTTATTTGCGGTCAACTCATAAGGTTCCTACTTATCGAGCTTTTTCACGTTTCCAGTTTGCTTCAAATGCCAAGTGACCATAGAATGGTTGACACTGAGTTCTTTAGCACCTTCTCTTATAGTTGTAAGAGGATCAGCTTCGATGATTGCTCTTCAACAGTCATCTACTTCCAACAGCCAGCCACTCTACTCCTCATCTTTAAGATTCTCACTCGTCTCCTTTGCAAAACTTCTTGAACCACCACTGCACTGTATATTCATTAGCAGTTCCTGAACCAAATGCATTGTTGATGCTGCAAGTTGTCTCTGCTGCTTTATGACCCACTCTGACCCATAAGAAAATTGCTCACATTTGCTTTTTGTCTAACATTATTTCCATAGTCTAAAATAAATAGAAAATACACAGCAAGTAATAAGTCATTAGCAAAAAAAAAAAACCATAAAGCAAGAAATGTGCATGAAAATGATGTATAACATAACCACATTTAAGAATGTATTCCAATGTCAAAGGACAAAATTCAGCAGTGCGAAACGACAATTACTTTTGCACCAACCTAATATTTTCTTGCTAATTGATCATTTGTGGTTGAAAGCTGTTGGTGGTGGTTTAGTTGCTAAGTCATGTTTGACTCTTGCTGAGGTCTAAATTATTTCTCAGGTGATCTTTGCATTTTTATGGCAATTCAGTTAACTCCAGGAAACCATCCCAGATCAGTAGACTTGTTCTGACATTGATTATTAATGTTGACTTAAAAAATCATCCTGGGAATTAAAAGATCCCGTTGGCTATGTTGTAGAGGGGTCATAACTTTGATGTCAAATGTCCTAATTCAAATCATTTTTCTACCTCCTTCCACCCTGTGACTCTGGGTGTCTTATTCCACCTCTCAGAGCTTTAAAATCTTTATTCGTGAGAATGCATTTAAATCCATCTCACAGATGAACATGTAATGAGGTCATGCATGAATATTATAATATATATAAGGTTAAATAGAATATTTAACCTTGTGCTTACTATAGAAAGTTCTCAAAATAGCACTTATTATTCTTTATTAATTCATCAGATGTTCATTAAACACCTAAAATGTTTAGACCTCAGAGAACAACTCAGAAGAAAATAATCATGCAAGTTTATAAGTACAACTGTGATAACTCTCCAAAGGAAAAAAAATCACTGGTTTCTAGGAAGATGCAGGCTGGCTGCAATGAGGAGTGGGAGCAGGAGCAGGCAGAGAAGACTTCCCAAAGGAAGTGATGTTTGAGCAGAGGATTAAAGGATGGTTAAGAGTTAACTCAGTGACAAAATGGGAAGGAAGGACATTCCAGGCAAAGGTGAACAGCATGTAAAAAGGCACAGAAGTGAGTGGGGAAATGTGGCATGTTTGAGAAACTGAAAGAAGCTTGATGTAGTAGGAGTGCAGGCAAGAGCGTGACTCAGACAGGGAGCAGGTGATGTGTCCTTCATCTAAAAGTGATGGGAGTTATTGAAGAGTATCTATCACATTCCAGGTATGGTGGGTAGATAGGAGTGAAATGATTAAATCTTATTCAAAGCTAACTCAGCTTTCATCATGTAGAGCACATTGAAGGGGAAGAGAGAATATGGGCATAGGCAGGGATATTACAGGAGGATAGCCAAGCGAGTGGTAGCCTGAATCATGTGGCAGTGGTGGACACAAAATGGAGTAACAGGATCAAGAGAAATTTCAAAAAATTGACCAGCCTGGCTGAAGCATTGGTTGAAGGAAGAATGGGGAAAAGGGACGCATTATGGAAGACGCCTAGGTTTTTTGCTCAGTATCTGGAAGAACAGCGGTTCCTTCTGCTGAGTGACCTCATTCTATTATTAAACCCTCTGTAGAACAGACCAGACATTGGAAGGAAGCAAATGGGAGATGTCTCACTATTCTCTTATTGATGCAAATGTGTTCCCTCCCAAGTTCTACACTGACATGACCCTGCAGAGATCCATTCTGCACTAAGAGCAGTCACACTTCCCTGGTCAAATTCCCGGCAGACAATTCCAGTCCCTCATTGTAAGCTGTCCCGTGGCGAAGAGCTGGGTCCTAGGGGCTGGCCTCGGAAGGTGGTGGGTCAGGGAGGCTGAGGGAGTTCAGGGTGCTGTCAGCCTTGGTGTGGAGTCCCGGGGGACTGCCGCCCCTCTGCACACATAGGTTGTGTGGGTCAATCCCTGCCTGGGTCTCTTCTGCCTTCTCCAGGGCACCATGGTGCTGACCAACCTGACTGCTCTGCACAGGGACCCCGCAGAGTGGGCCACGCCCGACACCTTCAATCCGGAGCATTTTCTGGAGAATGGACAGTTTAAGAAAAGGGAAGCCTTCCTGCCTTTTTCATTAGGTGAGTATCGAGAAATATGAATGTGGGAACCCAGAGGCCCTCTCTCAGCCCTTCCCTCCTCTTCTCCCTGGTGTTTTGCTTTAGTTGGCATGTCTCCAGGTTCAACAGAAAAATAAAAACTCAGCCTAAAAGTTGAGAATTTTTATTCAGGGTGTTACAGAAGACTATATCCCAGGAAGGTGGCCTCTCAGAGAGCTCTTGGGGACTGTTTCCAAAAGGTAATGAAAGTACCAGGATACGTAGGAGTTCTTGCTGGGGGGGAAAAAATAAAAAAACATGTAATCAAACATCATAAGATTTTGCTAGTCACACACGAAAAAAGACCAGACATTTCAAGTTAATGATTTTAGTGCCTTTCTTTTTATGGGAAGATGCAGTGAAATTATTCCTTTTTGTGCATGCCAACACTCTAGAGCCAGTATCCTCTTTTTTTTCCACCCTGAATTGCACTCAGAGCACAGCACTGGGGGCAGCTGCAGTGACTGGCGACTTTGTGGAGAGCAGCAGTCATTGTGTACCAGAACGGCAGGAACAGTGCTCAGTCCACACCAGAGTCCCCTCCAGAGCGACTCTCTCTTGCTGTGGGTTGCACCTCAGGATTCCCTGGGTGGAGCATCACCAGGACTCAGGCCTTTACTTCCTAAGCCCTGGCTTGGCTCTGATGAAGACTTCAGCTTCACGTCATGCTGGCCCCAGAATGCTGAAACAAGAGCTCAGACCCTTCCTGTCGCCCAGAGAGAAGGTTGAACACTTGCCTTCCTTACAGAGTTTTAAATGTTCAAGGATCTTTTTAGGGCAACCCCTTCACACAGAACTAGAGTCAGTTGCTAGGAGAGGATGAGGAAGGGGCAAGGAAAGAGGCTACTTGCTTCTCATTATGGGCATCATCTCAAGTGACTCTAAGTGTCGCAGGCTTAACTAAATGGGATTCTACTCTATCACTGATCCCTAAGAAGTCCTTTTACTGTTTTAAATTCTAATGACTCTTTAAATAACTAGTCAATACATTTACAGGGTATACAATTTGAAAGGTATGAAAGAAGGTACAGTGAAAACTCCTGGGTTTCCAAACCAGCCACTTCCAAAAGAGCATTTTAATTTATAACATTGTAAAATGAGTGAGAAAACTTTTAGTATATTTCACATATTAAGTTAGGTAGGTTGCAGAGATCATTTCAAATAAATTTCCAATTTCTTAATTCTGTAAGTGTTTCCTGGGCATCTATTATGTATTAGACATTCAGCCCTGAGGATATGATAATGAATGAAGTAGAAAAAAAAAAACTCTTAAAAAGTGTGTGTTCCAGTTCTGTAAAGCAAGTGTCCTTCAATTAAAAAAATAAATTTAATTGTCATAAAAAGTAAAAAAAGCTTGTGTTCTACTGTAACCTTACAAAGTTCAAATTCTATTCACCACGTTTAGGGATATGGAAGGAACCTGGAGCTTAGCAGGGTCAACTACTGTGTCTGCAGTCATAAAACTCACAAGACAGAGCTAGAACTCAGTGTTGACCAAGTTTATCAAATACTGAAGCCTGTGCTAGCAGCGTCTCTCTCCAAAACAATAACTAAATATTACAATGAGTTGGCACTCTGGAATTTATAGTAGTTTTCTTATCACTGGTTTAAATTAAATATAGATTGATTTTCTACAACAGTATTATTTTGCTGATCATGCCACAAAGGCACAGAGAGGGAGGGACTGGAATTTGTCCATGTAGAAGTGACGCAGAGCCCAGGCTGTAGGACGCTGTCCTGCGTGTATCTGAACTGATTCTGATAGATCTTCTGTGTCTTTCTTCCTCTGGTTCTGTACCACCTTTACACTGGACAAGTCACTTCTTAACATGAAAGCAGACATGAGATGTAGAAATACCTTTCAGTCTTCCTATCTGTAAGAGCTTCAGATTTCCTATTGTAGGACAAAGTTCATGTGTATTTTATGCATTTTAATCATTCTTGACTCACAGTTGTTTTTTTTTTTTGCTATTGAGAGTTATAACATACCCTTTTAATTATAGGCTTCATTTACAAGGAAATTATCTCATTTAATCCTCACAGCAGCCCACTTATTAATAGTTAGGCAATGGATCAGTATCTCATTTCTTAATGTAAGGAAACTAAGAATAAGAGAGGACTGTTTCTTATTCAAGATCTTGTGCCCAAAGAATTGTCAGAACGGGGCCTATTCTCAAGTTCTCATCTAGTGCTCCTTGTTGCATAGTTAAAATGTAATTTACTTGCCCACTTAAAGCCTTTCCATTTTAAGATTCACCAAATTCATATCATATGTATCAAGTACTATATTTCTGCATAACAGATGAATAACTCAGTGACTTAAAATAATCATTGTTGTTGTTGTTCAGTAGCTAAGTTATGTCTGGCTCTTTGTGACCTCGTGAACTGTAGCCCAATAGGCTCCTCTGTCCTCCACTATCTCCTAGAGTTTGCTCTACGAGATAGGGGGAAATTGGAGCCATTTTTGCAAATAGTTGGTCTCACTATCTGTCCTTTTGCTGAGGAGAATGCAATTGAGAGAAGGCAAGCAATTTGGGGGTTTCCTCATGTCCATTGAGTCGATGATGCCATCCAACCATCTCATCCTGTTACCCACTTCTCTTCCTATTCTCAGTCTTTCCCAGCATCTCCTGGAGTTTGCTTGAATTCATATCAATTGAGTCAGCAATGCTATCTAACCATCTATCGTCTACCATCCCCCTTCTCCTTTTACCTTCAGTCTTCCCCAGCATCAGGGTTTTTCCAATGAGTCAGCTCTTTGCATCCGATGTTCAAAGTATTGGAGTTTCAGCTTCAGTAACAGTCTTTCCAATAAATATTCAGAGTTGATTTCCTTTAGGATTGACTGGTTTGATCTCCTTGCAGTCCAAGGGACTCACAAGGGTATTTTCCAGCACCACAGTTCAAAAGCATCAGTTCTTCAGCACTCAACCTTCTTTAGTTCCTACACCCATACATGACTATTGGAAAAACGATAGCTTTACTGTGTATTACTGCTCCCAAGTCTGCAGCTGAGCTGGGAGCTCGACTGATTTTAGCTTTGTCCTCTTGCCTCTTTGGGAGCTGAGCTGACTGAAGACTGAGGGAAGATGACCTCAGCTGAGACAGTGAGGGTCTTTTCCAAATTTCCTCCTCCAGCAATCTAGCCCAGCGGGTGTACATGTAGAACAAGATCCCAGGAGGGAGGAAAGCGCACAGTGCCTCCTAAGGGCCAGGCTGGGAACTGGCGACCCTCACTCCCACTGCCTTCTGGTGGCCACCATCGGTCACCTGTGGGCCCCAGTTCAAAAGAAAGGGAAAGCAGCACAGTTTTCATGGGAAGGGCTATGAAATCATGTTGCCAGTGATGTGGGTAAAGGGAGATAGGGGGAAATTGGAGCCATTTTTGCAAATAGTTGGTCTCACTATCTGTCCTTTTGCTGAGGAGAATGCAATTGAGAGAAGGCAAGCATTTTGGGGGTTTCCTCAGCTGTGGCAGAGTGAGGCTAGCTTAAAAGGTTTCAAGAGATAGAAGAATGCACTGACTTATAAATTCAACACCACTGTCTTGTGTTCTCACCACACTGCCATCTCTGGAGCATGGTGGCTTTGCCTCATTCTTGATCTGGCACTTTGTAAAAACAGCCTCCCTGAAGGGATGGAATGTGGAGAGCTCCTTCCCTTCTCTGGAAAGGATGATCAGGTGTGGAATTAGGACACATGCATATTATCAGGGCAGATGGCAAAGCTGTTACTGCAAATTTGTATTTTCTTTTCCTCATTTAAGTTTTTCCCTTTCAATCCAACAAAGCAGCAGACAGCTTCATGAAAGGCAAGAGGCTGAGTCCTCGTTTTTCAAAAAATTTTTTTAATTCACTGAATCATGGGAGATAAAATTATGAAGAACTTTCCCCCAAAACCCTAGGTCATTTCTGTTGTTTTATTAATGAGGTAATTGACCTGGTTAGTTAATGATGGCCAGTTAGTGGAAGCACCAAGGAGAAGGTCCACATTTCCCAATAGTCCAGGATGAAGCTGTGAGATCAAGTTGCCCTCCTTTTCATGATTTTAAAAGCAAATTCATATAATTCATATCTCCTGTCTTCCTGGTATCCTCACCCAGCCACATAATATAGTTAGGAGAGCAATTATCTAACATGTTTGACAAGTGAGACATGTTCAGGTCTGTAAGAATAAAGGGTTTACTCATAGCCCAGAGCTGGGTACTGATGAAACGAGTACTGTAACCCTGGTTCCTGATTCCATGGGTCTAGTTTTGTCATATCTGGATTCTTCTAGGAGAATCCTGGGTATTTACAATATAGCTGATCTGGTACTATTTTAACAAAATTCCTCATTGCATTATTTGTGATGGGTAAAGAGATAAGGGGGCTTCCCAAAGCAGTGGTAAAGAATCCACCTGCCAAAGCAGGAGATGCAAGAGATGCGGGTTCCATGCCTGGGTCAGGAAGATCCCTGGAGTAGGGAATGGCAACCCATTCCAGTATTCTTGCTTGGAAAATTGGACACGACTGAGCACACACATACACACACACAAAGAGATAAGGATGAGGGGAACAGAGATAATTAGATACACGCTGGTGGGAAACAGGCACAAAACAATTTAAGAACAATATGATTCTAAAGCATATTTTAATTTATTCAACACTTTTGCAGAAATTCTCTAATTTCATTTCCTCAACAGCTCATTACAGGCAGGGACAAAATAGAGACATGCTACATTAACTATTTCTAAGAAAGTTTCATTACAAGGGGAAAATACCAAGTAACAGAAGCAACGCCCAGAATTAATTACAGAGAGTAATCCCAGTGACGGTGTGCAGGAGAATCCTTACAAAGACAGTGAGGAAATATGTCTAATATTAACAAGGGTTTTGTCTGAATTTGTAACAGACATCTTTTTTTGTCTTTACATATTTCACAATTTTTTTTCTTTCTTTCTTAGGTAGAAAGTAAGTTATTAAAACACCCATAAGAGAGATGATGGTAGAGCCCAGTGTGGGGTGTTGTAGCCCGAGTGGGGGAGGAGGGAAGCCTGGAGCAGGTGAACACAGGTGGGATGAGATGGGGTTGGCCCTGCATGACAGGGAGATCCCCAGTCATAATAGAGGGAATTGTGATGTAGAGAGAAGATGCCTTGTACTTGAGAAACCTTGATCTAACATTTACTTGCTTATAGTTTTCAAAAGTTTCTTTTAACAATTGAGAAAAACTACCTAAAATTTTGTGGATTTTTTTGGTCTGCTTAATCATGATTGTATGCTAATGGATTTTTAAACAACGTTAGGCTAGTGCTGGGCCAACTCAGGCCTCACTTCTCTCATGCACACCCTGCACCTTCACCCTGTGCCTCCCCTGGCTGAGTCCTGTAGGCTGGGAGCGTGCGATTGTGTAATTAGCTCGCTGAGCTTTGGTTAACCCAGGTGTGTGTGTGTGCGTGTTAGTCGCTCAGTCATGTCTGACTTTTTGCAGCCCCATGAAGTGTAGCCTGCCAGGTTCTTCCATCCATGGGATTTTCCAGGCAAGAATCCTGGAGTGGGTGGCCATTTCCTTCTCCATTGGTTAACCCAGGTGGTTGTGCTCAAACAAACTGAATACATAAGGACCCAGAGGCTGACAGGCCCCACCTTTGCTCAGGTTTTACAAGAAGTCATAAAATATTTCAGTCCTTGCTGGTACAGACACCACCTGAACAGGTAACTTTTTATTGTCTTTCAGGAAAGAGGATGTGCCTTGGAGAACAGTTGGCGAGAACTGAGTTGTTTATTTTTTTTACCTCACTTCTGCAAAAATTTACCTTCAGGCCTCCAGACAATGAAGAGTTAAGCCTGAAGTTCAGAATGGGCCTGACCCTCTCCCCAGTCAGCCATCACCTCTGTGCTGTTCCTCGGGCCTGAAGTTGTTGAGGAGAGGGAGGGGAAGGAAAGCAGGAAGAACGGGCCTGTCACCCACCCCTCAAGGCACGGGGCCTGCTCAGAAGTGAAAGGACAGCATCCAGTGACTGGGACAGGTCATAGGAACTGGATTCAGAGGAAACTGGATCCAGACCCCAGCTTTACCATCTCTAGTGGGGCATTGAGGAAATCAGTTTTGTTGTGAGTGATTTCATTTTCATCCAGAGGATTTAAAGTGGACAATGATTTCTTCTCTACAAGGAAGAAGTGCTGTAAAAACCAGAGGAAATAATGGGCCGTAAGTGGCTTGGAAACCATAAAGTGCATCATAAAAGTCACAGCTCTGATCTGCCTCCTTCTGCTTCCTGCCTTAGGTAGGGGTTTTCTCTGGCTTGTTGAGATGGCCTGGGTCAAAATGGTGCCAAATGGTGGATAAGAGTTAGAAGTTGGGCCCTGGGGCAGCCACTGACCGCGTCCAGATAGGCCCTCACACTTGGTAGCACTGGGCAGGCTTATCCTGCTTCTGCCCCAGACTAGCCCCTGGGAAGTCAGCAGGGCAGGTGGAATTCCTAAGTTATAGGCTGGTTTCTGTGAAGAAGAATGCTCTCTGATTTATCTAACAAAGCCTTGGACTCCAGTGCCAAGAAGAATGTCACCACATTTAACTAAACATGGTAAGCAGGTTAGGGGGAAACAAATGGGGAAATATTTTCTATTTTTTAAGCTCCTCCTTACACTTCAGTCCCCTGTCTGGTATTATTTATTCCCAAGCCATTTCATATTGGATTTGACAGTGTGGTGGGTGTGATCTTTTCTTACAAACTGATGTTGGCTTTTGGTTGGCAAGTATTCCCAGCCTAAACACAACAGCTGAGGCGTGGTAGAATATTTCATAGCAGGAAACTGAAATGCCAGAATCCTGCTCAGCCCTCCTTGTGTGGTCACTGAGGGGAGAAAATGGCACCAACTGGAGGCCAGGTCCCACTGACAGTCCCTGGGTTTGGATGCCAACCCCCATGCAGACAGACACCAACAAACCTAGTGAATGGGACTAAACCATTCAAGGTTTTTTTTCTGACATTGCTACACTTAATTAAATAGCTCAGAACAAAAAGGGCCATGAGGTCATTGAGCTTTTCATTCCTGTTGCTTGGGATTCAGAGAAAAGCTAATTCAATAAATACCATTAGAGAAAGAGACTGAAGAGCAAGAGAAGGTGAAAGGGGGGACAGAAGGCAAGTGAGAGAGAAAGTGTCTGACTGGAGCTAGCCTGAGCCTGTCAGAGCCAAGACACTGTCTGGGAGAGTTGGTTGTGTTCCTAGAGTTTAGATGGAGAATTTGATCTACAATAGAAACTGAGAACCCTAGCCACCCACCAGTGTGCACTTTCTTTGTAACATCCTGGAAAGTGGCATCTCCGGAAAGCAACCTAAAGGACATTTCTAGAATAAAGCCATTCAAAGCAGACCGTGAACTTCCTGAACATGAGTCCTTCTCTTCCACTTATTTTTCTCCCAGTCAGATCATCCACATAGAAGACTGAGAATTGACCAAAATCCTTTTCATTATGTGCTCAGTGGATTTTGTTGACTCATCTCTGAGGTCCATTCCTGCTCTGCTGTGCATTTTCCATGATTCTAGAAGGACAGGAGTTTACTTACTTCTTGTGGAATCAATGGAAAACCCTGCACACTCATCCTAATAGATGCAGTGGGACCCAGACTCAAGTACAGTGTGACAACAATTAACCAGAAAACTTGAGGACACAGGATTGGGAGTAGTTGAACTTTCTGACCATGCAAAATGTCTCCTCCTTTCCTCGAAGCTCACTGGAGAGACTCTAAATTATGAACTCTCTTCCTGTCCAAGCGTTATACAAGTATTTTGTCATCTGTATTTTTGTAACTCTCTTATTCCTGGTTCATGTGTGGAGCTCCAGCTCCCCTTTCCCGCTGCTGTATTCTAAATTTCCCTGCCTTCTTAAAAGGTCATCAGGTGGATTCACTGTAGGTTACTCTCCTCCCTACTGACCACAGAATCGTTCTGAATCCTTTAGCAGGGCTGCCACATGGTAAAACCCCAGGATGCCCTCATGATGGGCTAGGCGAACAGCGCCCTCTGGAGGTGGACCGGGTACAGCCACACATTACTGGTCAGTGAGCAGGTCCGGGGGGCTTGCTCACTAACTGGGCACATGGTAGTCTTTGTGCTCTGACACCTGCTCATCTCTTCAGACACATCTCAGTACTTCTGCCAAACTGCTTCAGTTCAGTTCAGTTCAGTTCAGTTCAGTCACTCAGTTGTGTCCGACTCTTTGAGACCCCGTGAATCGCAGCACGCCGGGCCTCCCTATCCATCACAAACTCCCGGAGTTTACTCAAACTCATGCCCATCGAGTCAATGATGCCATCCAGCCATCTCATCCTCAGTCGTCCCCTTCTCCTCCTGCCCCCAATCCCTCCCAGCATCAGGGTCTTTTCCAACAAGTCAACTCTTCTCATGAGGTGGCCAAAGTACTGGAGTTTCAGCTTCAGCGTCAGTCCTTCCAATGAGCACCCAGGACTGATCTCCTTTAGGATGGACTGGTTGCGTCTCCTTGCAGTCCAAGGGACTCTCAAGAGTCTTCTCCAACACCACAGTTCAAAAGCATCAATTTTTCGGCGCTGTTATTGATATTTCTCCTGGCAATCTTGATTCCAGCTTGTGCTTCTTCCAGCCCAGCGTTTCTCATGATGTATTCTGCATATAAGTTAAATAAGTAGGGTGACAACTAGTAGTGAAATGCAAATGAAGGCCACAATGAGATGTGGGATGTGAGATGTCACCTCACAATTTTTAAAATGACTAGCGTCAAAAAAAAAAAAAAAAACAAACCAAGTCTTTGGAGAGTATGCGGACAGAAGGGAATCCTTATACACTGCTGATGGGGAAGTAAATTGGTACAGCCATTATGTAAAACAGTAGAAAGGATCCTAAAAAATTTTAAAAATATGTACTGTATGATCCAGTAATCCCACTTCTGGGAAAATACCCAAAGAAAGGAAATTAGTATATTGAAGAGATGGCTGCACTCACAAATCCACTGCAGCATTATTCATAAAAGCCAAGATACAGAAACAACCTAAGTGTCTGTCACTGGTGAATGAATAAAGAAAATACAAAGTGTGCGTATGGGCTTCCCAGGTGGCTCAGTAGTAAAGAATCTGCCTACCAATGCAAGAGCCACAGGAGGTGCAGGTTCCATGCCTGGGTCAGGATGATCCCCTGGAGGAGAAACTGGCAACCCACTCCAGTATTCTTGCCTGGGAAATCCCACGGACAGAGGAGCCTGGCAGCCTATAGTCCATGGAGTTGCAAAGAGTTGGACAGAACTGAGTGACTGAGTTGTGACACACACAAAGTGTGTGTATGTATACATACACATAATACACACACACACAATAACCAGAAGTTTTTAAACCTTAAAAGAAAGGAAATTCTGCCATTTGCAAACAAAGTGAACCTAGAGTATATTATGCTAAAAAAAATAAAGTCACGTGAGAAAAGGCAGCACTATATTATCTCACTTAAATGCTGAATCTAAAAAAAGTCAAACTCATAAAAGCAGAGGGTTGAACCATGGCTGCCTGCCGGGAGCCAACACACGAGACCCTACCCATGACAAGGTCATGAGGGAGAAAACCTGATGGGCAAGGCGGATCAGGTTTTCAGGGGTTTCAAAAAGGCCAGCTCATGAGATCCCACCCATGACAAGGTCACGAGGAGAAAGCCTGACAGGCAAGGCAGATCAGGTTTTCAGGGATTTCGAAAAGCTGCCCCCGGCTCTCACCTTAAAGATGATATCTGTCTTTCTGATGCCTGCCTCAATGGACTCTGACACAGGCAGGAAGGCCTTCCCCAGTCTCTTCCCAAATAAGAATCCATTTAGAACTTTAATCAATAAGTTTCCCAGGTGGTGGTATTTTATGAGATTATTTAGGGTNGGGTTTCAAAAAGGCCAGCTCACGAGATCCCACCCATGACAAGGTCATGAGGAGAAAACCTGACAGGCAAGGCGGATCAGGTTTTCAGGGGTTCTGAAAAGCTGCCCCTGGCGCTCACCTTAAAGATGATATCTGTCTTTCTGATGCTTGCTTCAATAGACTACTCCCTAATTTCTGGGACACAGGCAGAAGGCCTTCCCCGATCTCTTTCCAAATAAGAATCAATTTAGAACTTTAATCAATAAGTTTCCCAGGTGGTGGTATTTTATGAGATTATTCAGGGTGAAAGGAGTGTTTTAATTTAAACTCCTTTGCTGGTATTTTAGTTTTAGTTTGTTTGGCAAATGTGTTTATGCCCTTGGTACTAATATGCATGATTGCTCATAATACCCTAATCATAAAACAGCATAAAGAACCTGATCATATAAAGGCCCTAGTAGACATAGAGCCCTTTGGGGAGTGAGGAAGTCATATTAGAAAACATAAGAAAAATTATTTTAAAGGTGGTTATTGGGTTGACGTTTGCTTGCTGTGTTTTTCTTGCTGTGTTTTTGCTTTTAATGTGCTAAGGTTGTGTTATAGAAACCATTGTTAATATAGTTAAAGATCTAGAGAAATAAGAGCTTAGCCCTAGTGTGGTAACAATGAGATGGTTGTTAATTGTCAGCCAGGAGTGCTAGGCAGAAGCTGCCTCACCAAAGCCACAGAGTCTATGTGGGGTAAACTTCTTAGATAAACGCAACTGACAACTTCTGCAGAAAGATTAATTTTTGTGTTAATACGGTTATAGTTCTACTCTGTACTGTTGCCCTATGAGACTGCTACCTTTCAGTTAAGGTCACCAGAGAAACAGAAAATAGGTTTACATTCACCTGACTTGCATAAAATATTAATAGGCCCCAAGGCCAGAAGATAATATACAAGACCCTCATAAACAAAGAAGTATGCAGAAAACACCCTGGTTTTGTGAAGGACAAGCTGATGTAATGTTAAACTATCCTCCCCTCAGAAATGTACTAACTTAGGGTATAAAAGCTATGGTAAAAAATAAAGCGTTGCCAGACTCTGCCAGACTCTGCCGCACCCCCCGTCTGGTCACTCTCTCTCTCTCTCTCTCTCTCTCTCCCTCACAGACTTGGCCCTATCAAGGCTGGTCTCATGTGTCTTCTCTCTCTCTCTCGCCGACGCCGTTCATCCTGAGGGTACCCCCTGGATCCTGCCGAGGCTGGACCCTGGCAGCTGCCAGTGGCTGAAGGGTGTGGGATGTGGGGAGATACTCATCAATGGATACTAGGGTTCAGTTTGTGGGTTAAGTTCTGGAGATCTAATGTAGAGCATGATGATATTATACTTGA